GAGCTGGCGCGACCATATTTCGCATCCACCGCTCAGGCCCCACGGCAGTTGCCATGTGGGGTTCCTGTGTCCACGGCCTAGGAGATGCGAGGCTCCATGGGCTGCGAGTTTTGGCGGCTCACGCGGAAGGCAGATTCCCGAGGGGGTCTTCGGTCGGGCTGTTCCTGTGTAGTGGGCGTCAAGGTTGGAGGCGTGATCCACTATTTTTCACGACGGCGGACTCGATCCGCCAGTATTGCGAAGTGCTCTCCGACGGACAGCTCTCGAGGGCGGTCCTGGAGGCACTGGTGATTGCTGGAAACAAGAATGCTGCTTCCGAGCGGCCATGGGCAACCTGCAAGGACCCAGTGGATGCCGCGGCCATAACAGCCCAGAGGGTGGGATGGCGGTTTCGGGACGCGGTGGCCTTGGTGGACGATCGGGGGGTCGATTGGGATCTGCGATTTTACTCGCCTGCCTGCGTCGCAGCTCAGATTTCGTTCGCGGCTCGACGCGCCTCGGGCGTCCGAGCGCTCAGCCTGCAGGACGATGCCTGGGCCACCGACGTGTGCTGGAGGCCCCTGCTTGAGCTAATGTTTTGTGACTGGACGGAGGCCTGGGGCCGCCACGAGCAGAACTCTCTTCGGGGCTTGGTTTCAGGTTCCCACTGGACCCAGGGCCGGCTTCACGACCAGGAGCCATCTTTCCCACAGGTGTGCCAACTGTGCAAATAATATCAGGGAACCATGTTTCACCGTTGCTATGCCTGCCCTGCGCACGATGTTTTCCGACGGGATTGCATGCCCACGGAGTTGGCCAGATCGGTCGACAGAATGAGACAGAGCCCGCCAGCTTGGAAGGAAAGATTCGCGAGGGGGTTGTTTCCTGAGCCTGGCCAGTGCGTGGGGAGACCACCTTTCAATCCAAGCTGGGGGCTGTGGGTGCACGGCGCCCTCCAGCTGCCAATCCTCCTGGAAGGAGGGTACGTCTTCACGGATGGGTCGGGCCTTGACCAGCACCACCCGCCCCTCAGAGTTGCTGGCTGGAGTGTGGTGCTGCACGACTCCGACAGGTGCTGCGTCGGAGCGATTTTTGGAGCAGTGCCGCCTGACACCGGCATCACTGGCACGGCCAGAGATGGCGAAGACTATGCTATGCTGATGCGCGCCCAGAATGTTATGGGTCAGTTCTTTGTGCGGGCAGACTGCAAGGGTACACTAAGTTGCTGCCAGTCGCCTAGCTTGCCAACTTCGGAGTGCAACCCGCGAGCCCACCTGTGGAGGCGGGTTCATGCGCGCGAAGATTTCCGCG